TTAAATCATAAATATGTAAATAAATTATTTTAAAATAAAAACTATCAAAATAAAGCACTTACTAAAAAAATAAAATCATAAAAATGTCAACAAAGAAATGTTAATATATCAATAGTTATAATACATACTATTATATAGTATATATAGTATAATATAGTACATTTGTTTACCTGCATGACTATTAACTGTCATCAGAGAACCATGAATATGTGCTTGTGTTAAATTAATGAAATATAAAAATTCAGATAGATTTAATAAAACTTTACTGTATACTTTAATATATATATTAGCTCAAAGATAAAAAAGTTTGGTAATCCCTGATCTAAAGAAAAAGAATGTATTTTCTAAACCCTAGTGAGAGGCCTACTAAATAGACAGTAAAATTCAGAAACGGACACTTTTACACACTATTGTTGTGTATCATGCATTTAACGCACATTAGAGTATCTTGTTGAGATGCTTCCAGTGCAGACAATGTCAAAGCAGCTCGCTAGTGTTTAAATGTGGGAGAGCGGTTGAGGTTCACATGTGAATCTTGTTCCAGCGTTGCATCTCTCGGCTGTCTCTCGTAAGACTTTCATTCTAAGAAAGCTGGAAGTGTCCCTGAGCCCTGCGGCGAGCCGGCGTGTTGGCCGGAGATCATACAGCGCTGAGGGACATCCCTCTGCAGACGAGGAGTCTGGGATGCCGGAGAGGAATGGAAGCATTTCAGAGAAAAAGAGTCTCCTTTTTAGGCTAAATCAGCCCACTCAGACTCTAACGGGGCTTTCTCTCTCCTCTGGGTGTTTGTGAGCTATTCTGAGCTGAAGTGCTGTGTAAGATATTGCAGCACATGATAAAGTACATTCAGCCTTACGAGGACAGTTCATAATGGCTTCTTCTGTTACTATTTGTAGTTATTTTAAAGTGTTTTCTACTTGGTTGCTGGCTTTGTTTTTCATTATATTAATGTGTTTCATAATATATGCATTGTGCATTGCTTTGTTAATTGGTTGTTCTTGTTATTTCAGAGGAGTTTTCAGCTCTTAATGCTCAGATTAAGGCGTCTGTAGCATGTTTTCATTTCAGGGCCAATATTAACAGACAGCAGTTTGTGATCAGTGCACAAGTGCAGCCTGTGTTTGCTGCGTGCCGCACACTGAACTCAGCAGAAAATAGGGTAAAGCTAATTATCTCCACGACATGTTGTGGCTTTTCTAAGAAGCATTTGTAATTGTCCTCATTCGCTCACTACTGATTTGATCATTTATAGCCACGATAGAAGGAAAAATGAAATGTGGTAGAAACTTTTGAATGATAGTGTACATATTCCGTCATATGAAAAAAGCTTGAATAGAGGAAATGTACATGCATCTGTTTCCTGGATGCAAGCTACAATTAGTCCTCAATTAAAAGTACTTTCAATATGGAGTCTCCCGTTAGTGTGTGATTTCATCTATCATAACTGAATCATACAATCTATAATAAACACACAGAGAGATCAGACCCTGAAGGAAGGGTTTCCCTGATCGCTGACTTCATTTCCTCATAACGAGAAAGAAACCGAGCATAGTTTTCATGACCGTCAGAAAGAATCAGCCAATTAAAAGTAACATGACCTTTCACAATCTGACGGCCGCTGTGAACTTTCATTCTGCGTCTGAGTGATTTCCGTTTGGAGTGAGCTGAAATTAAAGATTTCAAATCAATTATTGTTTGCTCTTTTCTAAGAGAGCAAGAAGAAATGGTTTTATGTGCAATATTCATGATGTTGGTTAATAATTTCTGTCTTTTTGCCTGGGTTAAAGCTACGTCTAATTCAGGGTTAAGCGATATTTCACACTGGCTAAAGTTGAAAAAGGTGGATAGTAACATTGTAACCCCGAGTGATGAAGCTGTGTGATACAGTATAACGCTAGAATGTAACACCGAATCATTGAATATTAATAAGCTTTGTGCAATTGCAGGAATATGCACATGCTGTTTAGTTTCAGCATCTGAGGGAAATTAGTTAATTGAAGATTTTATTTTACAATTTTAATACAAGAAGTCTAAGACAAGCAGTTGTTAAAACAGTGGTTATTGTGTTTGTCCAATCAGTGAATATGCAAATATGATAACACCCATTCAGAGTTGCAGTAGTGTTTTATAACTCTCTTGTTCAGATCTTAATTGTTTCCTGGGTAGAAATCGGTTCAAAATAAAGAATCTCTATTTGAACCGCATTGGTGCTTGATATTAAAACAGCACTATCACGTCTCACACATATAAGCGAACACAGACTTGACATTTGGTCGTGTTTTTTCTTTGGCTCGTTTCTTTGAAAGCGTTTCTGAGCTGATCACAGGAGAAAACCCCAAACAGAGGCGAGTCAGGAGTGGCTCTATTAGAGGACGAGAGCACCACCGTCCTCTGATAGTCTGATGTGTCATGATGGTTTCATGTGGCGGCAGCATTAATCCTGCACACTGACATCCTGATGGCAGCATGTGATGCTTTAATTAAAGCTGCCACACACACACACACACACACACACACACATGCTCACACACACACATGCGCACACACAGTCAGGTAAATGGACTGCAGCGATTACCGAAACACATTTCATGTCCTCTTTGCTCAAATTTGGTGAAGAATGTTTGATGCTTCTGTCATCTCTCTGTCTTGTATATATATTTAATTTATTTTATTTTACCTTATTCTGAGCAGAGTAGATTTAACATTTTATGAAGAGAACTTGATGCCATGATGCTGAGGTGTTGTTTGTGTTTCTGAGTGGTTGTTTGTTAGTGTGTTATGTGGTTACTTGGGTGTCTTGAGTGGTTGCTATTGTGTTGCTTTGTGGTTGCTGAGGTTTCTGATTGGTTGTTAGGTTGTTGTTAGGTTGTTTGGATGGGTGTTAGTTTGTTGCTGTATGGTTGCTTTGGTGTTTAAATGGTTGTTAGTGTGTTGCTAGGGTGTTTAAGTGGTTGTTAGTGTGTTGCTATATGGTTGCTATGGTGTCACTGGTTGTTAGTGTATTGCTTGTGTGTTTGATTGGTAGTTAATGTGTTGCTAGGATGTCTAAGTGGTTGTTAATGTGTTGCTAGGGTGTTTGAGTGGTAGTTAATGTGTTGCTAGGATGTCTAAGTGGTTGTTAATGTGTTGCTAGGGTGTTTGAGTGGTAGTTAATGTGTTGCTAGGATGTCTAAGTGGTTGTTAATGTGTTGCTAGGGTGTTTGAGTGGTAGTTAATGTGTTGCTAGGATGTCTAAGTGGTTGTTAATGTGTTGCTAGGTTGTTTGAGTGCTAGTTAATGTGTTGCTAGGTTGTCTAAGTGGTAGTTAATGTGTTGCTAGGATGTCTAATTGGTTGTTAATGTGTTGCTAGGATGTCTAAGTGGTTGTTAATGTGTTGCTAGGGTGTTTGAGTGGTAGTTAATGTGTTGCTAGGATGTCTAAGTGGTTGTTAATGTGTTGCTAAGGTGTTTGAGTGGTAGTTAATGTGTTGCTAGGATGTCTAACTGGTTGTTATTGTGTTGCTATGGTGTTTGAGTGGTTGTTAGTGTGTTGCTGTGGTGTTTGAGAGGTTGTTAGTGTGATGCTATATGGTTGCTATGGTGTCAGTAGTTGTTATTGTGTTATGTGGTTACTAGGGTGTCTGAGTGGTTGCAATTGTGTTGCTATGTGGTTGCTAGGGTGTTCCTAAGGTGTTTGAATGGTTGTTAGTGTGTTGCTGTATGATTGCATTGGTGTTTAAGTGGTTGTTAATTTGTTGCTAGGGTGTCTGAGTGGTTGTTAGTGTGTTGCTAGGGTGTTTGAGTGATTGTTATTGTGTTGCTATGGTGTTTGAGTGGCTGTTAGTGTGTTGCTATAGTGTTTGAGTGGTTGTTAGTTTGTTGCTATGGTGTTTGAGTGTTTTTTAGTGTGTTGCTATGGTGTTTGAGTGGTTGTTGGGGTGTTGCTATGGTGTTTGAGTGGTTGTTAGGGTTTGAGTGGTTGTTAGTGTGTTGCTATGGTGTTTGAGTGGTTGTTGGGGTGTTGCTATGGTGTTTGAGTGGTTGTTAGTGTGTTGCTATGGTGTTTGAGTGATTGTAAGGGTGGTGCTAAGGTGTTTGAGTGGTTGTTGGGGTGTTGCTATGGTGTTTGAGTGGTTGTTGGGGTGTTGCTGTGGTGTTTGAGTGGTTGTTGGGGTGTTGCTATGGTGTTTGAGTGGTTGTTAGTGTGTTGCTATGGTGTTTGAGTGGTTGTTAGTGTGTTGCTATGGTGTTTGAGTGGTTGTTAGGGCTTGAGTGGTTGTTAGTGTGTTGCTATGGTGTTTGAGTGGTTGTTAGGGTTTGAGTGGTTGTTAGTGTGTTGCTATGGTGTTTGAGTGATTGTTGGGGTGTTGCTATGGTGTTTGAGTGGTTGTTAGGGTGTTGCTATGGTGTTTGAGTGGTTGTTGGGGTGTTGCTATGGTGTTTGAGTGGTTGTTGGGGTGGTGCTAAGGTGTTTGAGTGGTTGTTGGGGTGTTGTTATGGTGTTTGAGTAGTTGTTAGGGTGTCTGAGTGGTCTCTGTGATCTTCTGGCCTCTGTATGTCTCTCGCGTCTCTCCTTTAATGTGTTTGAGGGTTTTATCGCACAGCAGATGAAAATCTCTGGGATCTCTCTGCTGTATATCAGTGTTTTGTTGATCTGTTGTTATGAAGTTATCACTCAAGGTTTTCTGAAGCTGCCACTTTTTTTTTATCTATATCGACTGACATGCTCTTTCAGGCTCTTCATGTTGCATTTTGTAATATTAGTGCAGGTCACTGTGGTGAAATGAAAGCTGTGCTGCTTTTGGCTGATATGTCAGATTTCAGTCCTTGTGCTTCTTTGAAATTTGCTCATTGATAATGAGAATTGGGGTGAATATCATGAAAATAATCTTGCAGTGCAAACAATTTTAAATATGCATATATATGCATAATTTTCTTTATACAATTTGTTTTTTTTTCTGTTGATTTTGAGTGAAGTGTGATTTAGATTGACTGATGCTCATGTCACATGTGTGTTTCAGTCTGTTCCAGCATTACTGTTACTCTCGCGGAGGGATGCATCACACCTCATACACCTGCATCTGCGGAAGGTAAACGCACCACCAACACACACAAACAATTAGAAAACTCACAAATTAGCCACATACAGAACAGAAATGGTCCGGTCAGCTGCACTCAGACTGTTGCTGTAATTACTGATGTTCTTACTGAGTGTTACACAAACAGCACAAGACCTTACAGTGCAATAACAGACCAGAGGAAATCATTACTGTGTGTGTGTGTGTGTGTTCTCTGAGAGGCTCTTGGTATCTGATATCATTCTGTCCCCAGAGCAAAAGACATTTCTTGCAGTTCAAAGTTGAATCGCAGCAAACATTTAGATGAATAAATAAACTTCAGACATGTTTTGGATTCAATCTCAAATGCACTTTCATCTAAAAATGTTTGTTAACCTGCAGAAGTGAAGAAAAGCACTATAACAGTTCAGTGCATATAATATGTGCATTATTTTCCGAGCCTTTTGCAATCATTTGAGTGTGTGATGAACAGACTCAAATTGAAGTCTTTTTTTCCCCCACCGCAGATCTTAAATTTCTTTCATGCATATTCAAACATGGCACATCATGATTATTCATGATGCAAGATTTTCAGTCAGTAATAATTTAAATGTAAACTTTTTGTCACACAATTGTTTTTGGGAGGTCAAGTGTTAATTTAATACTTTCACTTTCAAAGTGAAGTTCCATATTAATGTGGCTGCTATTGAATACAGTAGCACTGCAAAACTTTACTGTACCAATAATGCATTTGTCACTGTTAGTGTACTTCCTGAACGTCCTGAACATTTAAAGATATAAAAATGATGTTCATTAGAATGTGGTTGACGATATTGTCAAATCTCTGAGTGTTTTGGGTTGCATGTTAACATAACTCAATAACCATTATGGACATGCCGGCGCTCCCAATGACAAAAGCATCCAGGATGGAGACATGTGGTGAGTTCATCTGCATGTTTTCTCTTTTATTTCTTGATTGTTTTAGTCAGTTTTATTGTGTATCAGTTTGTCTTGTTGATTGATGCTGGTTTGCAGTCAGTGTAGTGTTGAATATTTCTCTCTTCAGTAGTTCAGGCTTCATCATCTCTTTATGAGCAGTCGCACACTGACCCCTGGTGGACAAGAAATAGAAAGACATTTTTCACATTTTTCCAAGTGTATGTTTTAGTTAGCATGTGAACATCAGGATGCTTGAATTATTATAAAGTAGCAGCTGATTTACTACAGTCAAAGAGCTTTTCAGTTTATATTTATATCCGGCATCATCCATCTAAAACGTCTCAGGTTACGTATGTAACCCTAGTTCCTCGAGGG